CAAGGCCACAAGGAGCCCATCACTTTTGAGTTGGAGGCCATCACTAGTAGATCGGGCAAACCGTCCTTCGGTTGCAGGGGCTCAAACGAGTAGTGGAATCCCAGGTCTTTCCCCAAGAGTCGGCAGAGCTGTCAAAAAGGCAGCGCTGGAGCACTTCTCAACTCCATACCTTTCTCCAGGAGCCTTCCTTTGCTGAACTTTTGGCGCTCGAAAGGCTTCAGCCTTGAGCAGATGCCAGACCTCACGGGAAAGGTCGGAGTGCAGATGTGTTGCACAGTCGGTCGGCGTGCGCTTGATGAGTTGGGGGCTAGGCCCTCCCGACCTCAGCAGTTGCTTTTCACGTTTTAGGTTGGAGGCCATCTAACAAGGGCATCGCTTACTAGGAACAAGAAGCTACTAGGGGCTCCTGGCCATACTACTAGGAGCAAGGATGCTACTAGTAACAAAGGGCATCGCTCACGTTTTAGGTTTGAGGCCATCGTTGTCATCGTCACCCCGAAGTGCGTGGTCGTCCATTCAGTGTTTGCCTCAGGTGGCGTTGGTGACTGGTGCCTCCACAGGCCTTGGCCGCGAGGTCGCAAGACAGTTGGGGACACCCAGTGGTTGGAAAACGCCACTGGATTTTTGCCACATGAAACCTTGACACCGGGGTGAGGGTTTCAGTGCAAGCGCGACTATGGAAATAGAAAAGGAAGATGACAATGGAATCATGAGTTTTTGCTGTTGATGAAACACTTGGGATGTCACTTGATGTCGACAAGTTGTCCTGTCAACACCCAGCAGAACCTTGCTCCAAGAGACATTTTCCATTGAAAGGTACGGAACATGTCCGTGAGGGGCACCTGCCAGCCAGACTGTCGATCTAAGGCAGTTGACTATGTAATGCAGTGGCGCCAAACGAGTCAGTTCAGTTAAACCACGACTCTAGATCTGATCCAAAAATGGAAGACCAATCAAACACTTGTCCCAATCCCAGAACCATCTCAATAGGTTATTAGGTTTCTTAAAGTCTGTTTCATATTTTTTTGTCAATTATAATGTGACTTTGTTCGACCTAAGGTTGAGCCGCGCCAACGCCACTGTCTTCGTGGCCTGTCGCGAGGTCTCCCGTTGCTCGGACTTCGCCAACGTGGTCCGCTTGGACCTCGCAGCGCCTCGGAGGAAATGCCCAAACGAGAAAGCTTTTTGGATGCGCTTTTCAGGACGCTACTAGGAACAAGTGCATCGCTTCTAGTAACAAGTGCCTTACTAGTAGTCACAAGAAGCTATTAGAAACAAGAATTAAAATTAGAATTAGCACGTTGTTTTTCTTCCCTTTTTTTTGTTTTGTTTTTCGTTTGTGCAACATGGTGGTGGCCAACCCGACTCCAACATGGAGAACGCTCTTGACAACGTCGAAAGACGACCATAGGCCACCTTAGGCCTTTAGTGAGGTGAAAGAAAAACAACAAACACTCCCCCAACCATATTATTCTTCTCTCTTTGTTTTGGTTTTGCTTTTTCTTTCTCTCTTTGTTTTCTAAAGGAAGACAACATTGGGTATTTAACTTTCACAGCGACAGGACTTGCAGCAGACTGCAGAGGCCGCTAAGGAGCTGAAGCGGCGGCTACCGGCGTTGCACATCTTGGCATTTTGGCTGATTCCTCCAACCTACTAGCGATGGCCTCCAACCTATTGGGCAGAGAAAGAAGCAACAGGAGAAATGCAGATGCATTGAACACGCCAATAAACCCAATCCATCATGAGTTGTTCTTAAGGCAGATGCAGCTTTCCTGTGTGAGTCCAGGTTCATGGAAGTGCACATTCCGGTCCCATTTGGTAACACCAGGGTCTGAAGCGGAAGTTGCAGACCCGTGAGTCCATATTCCATATCCTTGCGAACGAGATGAGTTTAAAGTTGAAGCTTGTTGGATGTTTTGCAGATCACCAAAGCCTCTTTGTCACCATACGACCTTCAGAGCCGAAACCGAGGTGAACAACGCTGGCGTTGCCACCCAGTTCCCACATGGCCTCACAGCCGATGGGGTTGAAACCACTTTCCAGGTGACTTGGCGTCCTTGCTCCTAGTAGCGATGCCAGGAGTCCCTAGTAGCTTCTTGTTCCTAGAAGTACGGCCAGGAGCCCTTAGTAGCGTCCTTGCTCCTACTAGCGATGCCCTTTGCATTTTGGACTTTGCATTTTGGAAGAAAGAACAGAGAGAAACGAACAAGTGGTAGCCAAAGGGCTGCGTACTTCTCAATGACGGGGTGAGTGAATTGCAACATGTCGCAGCCGCTGTCGCTGCCATGTCTTCCACTTGTCTCCAAGCTGATCTGCGGTTTTCCCCTGCCGTCCTGCCTCCCAAGCTTGTGAGTAAGGACGCTGCTAGGGGCTCCTGGCCTTACCACTAGGAACAAGAAGCTAACGTGAAGGATCACGGGTAGTTTCACCACTTTTGCAAGTTTGCTGAGGACTTTGACCCTAAGAGGTTAACGCTTGGCCAAATTTGGCTCAAGGCTG